CACGAGGATTAAACAGCAGCATTTACTTTGAGCGAACCAGCCCGTGGGCCGCTGCATACAGCAAATAACTCAATAAACCCTAGTTCCTGTACAGTGCAATTTGATGTCACATATTTGCTGCTGTTATCAGCTAGAGCAGCAAAGTAGACCATCAACTCTAAGGTTAAAAATGAAGCCGTTCGGGAGAGCTGGCGTTAGCTTGGGCAAATCGGGCCTGGCAGCGACAGCAGCAGCAGGAGGAGGAGGAGGCAGCGCAGCATTCAAAACTTGACAGCGCGATAGCCTCACTAGCGTTAACTAGCTAGCAGTGTTAGCATCTCGAATAACCGTTACAAAGCCGCATTGAACGCTAGATAGTCGTCTCCAAAGAACACATAAAGCTCTAAGATAGTATAGCCATGAAGATAAAGCGGCTTTCATTTCAAAGCTTTGAAGCTTTACTTTAGAAATTATATTTTTGGTAGCTAGCTAACGTTAGTGCAACGGTTATCGCGGGTTAGCTCAAGTTGAACATGTAGCCTTAGCTTAAGACCCGCCACCAGTCAAAAGAAACACAAGAAGCTGATTAAAAGAATGAAACCTGCGATTATATCAAAGCCAATGTGTGCTAATAAGATAGAGTTACCTGGGCGGGCTCGGGCGATCACCCATCATCCCAGATGTAAATACGGGGCAGTGCTAATGCTGCTACCGTTAGCTAGCGCTCACAGACTGACAGAGTGACCAGGCTGGGAGACACACACCGTCCCGAGTCCCGACCCGAGCCCGACAAGCTGCAGCCGACCAAGTGGCTGGTAGCCCTCCAATCGTAGTACTTTACCTTGATCCTCTGCGGTTCGCAACGGAGACGGCGGCGAGGAGTTATCCTATGTTTGGAAAGCTATCGGGCTATTAGTTAGGCTACCTCCAGTTCGGTAAGAACAGCCTTTCCCCAGCAGCGGCGGAGCAGCAGGAAAATCTTTGGCCTGAAACAGCCAAACCCACGAGTAGCCTTCCTTCCAACTGAATAATCCTCAAACTCCCATTAATTACAAAATACACCTACGATACACACAAACGATTACGTTAACGCATTTACATTCCTGTTATTGATTCACTCGCTCGTCTTCCCCAAAAACCCTGGATTTTGGTGTTTTCTTTGCTCGTCTATGATCCGGGGCTGTTTCCTTTCACCCTATTGTCAACACTGCTGGGTTGAGACCATGGCACACATAACAGAGACACAGCGTAGCGTGCTGGACGAGCATCTGAACCACGTACAAAGCTGATTGGCTGCAGGGAGCGATGTCCGCAATTGTGATTGGACAGCCAGAACTGTCAATCACAACACGGAGAAACGAGGCTCCGAATCCGTCGGTTAGGTAGAGGAGAAGGGACAAGGAAAAAGATCGAGGCAGAGAGCGAAGTACAGTGTGTATGTGTGGAGGCTTCACCAGGCAGCGTGCTGGAATGAGGCTAAACCTGTCCGAGGCCCGGCCCTGCACCTCGCTTCTATGCATCCGCATTTTAACGCTCGTTCTGCCCAATCGTTTATTGCACATTTATAAGTGTTTTTGAAGACCTCCTCACAGCCGAGGCGGTGCTGTGTGAAAGACGAGTGCATTTCAGCCCTAGAACCGAAATTAGAGAGGAACACAGCGAGAGTTACATAACTGATATATAGGTCTGTGAATGCGCTATATAGCTAATGCTAGGGCATGCATGGGTGTTTCCTTTACTCGCTCACGTATTGGTTTTCTCTCGCTTGATAGGTTTTTAAAATAACACATTTGCAAATAGTTTCTGCTCCAACTTTACAGCAAATTATACAAATAATTTTTTATTAAAAAAACAATATACCATATAATTCATATTAGTCACTATACTGGAAACGTGTCAACTGAAGTGCTACATAGGCCTAGCTATATCTTATGTATTTGAATTACTGGTGCATTAACGTGTAAGTAGCAATAATTATTAGTATTAACGCACTGTGTCCAGGGGTAGTTTTATCTAACGTGTGGATTACTGGCCAATTATGAGGCAGTAGGCCGTGTATAAAGGTTTCGCACATTTCATACAAAATTTAAAAAAAACTCCATACCCCAGTGTTTTTCTATGACTGTGGTTGCTTTGCTTTTTTAAGTCGTAATTTTAGTGTCATTTTTCCTCATTTTATGTAGTCACAGCATCTCTTGAGAGATTCCTGCGACTTATTCGTGATTTTTTTTCATCTGCTTCCTCATCATTTTCATCCTTCTTTGAGTTTGCTGTTTTGTTATCATTTCCCTCTCTTCTAGTCCTTTGGCATTTTTTTGTCAAACTGGTGTTTCATAGTTTTCAAGGAGTATCTTTGGTGAGTGTAATGTTGGTTGTGATTTTTTATTATTTTTTGGCTTCATTCAGAACTCCACAAGATTTGGTATGTCTTAGGCAGCGAGCATTCTCAGCAGAATCTCTAGTGAAGTGTTTTCTCACCATTGTCACTAAGGACAGAAATAGCAAAACTGCATCATATTGACCAGTGAAACCACACTTTGGTTTTGCCACTGTAACAATGAAGCCTGCTAGAGGCCTTGTTCATACTAACTGAAGTAAAATTACATTCACACAACTTAGAGGAACCATTTCTCTACAGCTGTATTTCCCATATCAACACGTTTTAGTAGTAAAACCTAGTTTGTAGCAAAGTTAGCGTCACATCTACACTGCTAAATTAGGAATCATGGACTTTATCAACAATTTTAAAAGAAGGACCTTAGAAATAGTTCTGTATTATGTTTTTTAAGCAGTCAGGGGTCATATCAATTTGGTTATCATATGAGTGAACAAATAAGCATGTGAGTGACCAAAAATGAGCAGTTAGGCATACAGTGACTTATCAAGAATATAAACAGATATTTAAAAGAAAAGATGATGTTTCTCCATCACCCCATTCTCAGTAATGGTCTCATTGTGGTCACTCTATAAAAACTGTGTGGCTCCATCACTGTCTTTCAGTAATATCTGCAGTTTAAGTTTACTCTTTTCTGTGCAATTATATATATATACAGATGTGAAGAAGTCAGTTTTCCTGGGGCTTTGCAGTCGTTTAAAAAACCTGTGACTGAGTAGCTCGTAGAACCAATGTTAACAGAAATAGCTCTTTATGGCTTTAATGACTTTATCAGTCTTTCACATCATTGTAGAGGAATTTTACCCAGTCGTCTTCAAAATCTTGTTTCAGTTCATTGGGCATTCGTTTATACTGAGCCTACTTAAGGTCCAGCATTTCAGTCAGCTTGATGCTTTCCTTTTTCAGATATTCTGTTGTAGATCTGCTGCTGTGTTTGGAATTACTGTCCTGTTGGACCATACCCTTGCAGCCAATCTGTTGGACAGATGACCTAACATTTGACTTAAGAAAACTTTGTGTACAGAGGAAGTTGTGGTCGAGTCGGTGACTGCAAGGTGGACGGGTCCTGCAGCTGCAGAACTAGCCCAGGTCATCACCCTGTGCTTTATTATTAGCATTTGTGCTGATATGCTGGTACAAGGCTGTGTACATTTTGGCCAAACATCTCCCCTCTCCTCTCGTCTGTCCAAAGGATGTTGCTCCAGAAGTCTTGTGGTTTGTTCAGATGCAACTTGACAAACTTTAGCCACGCTGCCATGTTCTGTTTTGAGAGAAGAGGCTTTCTCCTAGCAACCCTTGCAAACAAGACATACTTGTTCAGTATTTGCTAATTGTGCTGTCATGAACTTTAACGTTTAACTTGTCTGGGCCTGCAGACTCTGAGCTGTGGCTCTTGGGGGTTTTTGTAATTTCTCTTCACGTTGCACAGTCTGACCCTGGGGTGAATTTGCTGTGATGTCCACTTCTGGGAGGATTGTGGGATTATGTTAATGCACAGCCAAAACCGCCAAAACCTCTGCTGTTACAGGGCTGCTCACGCTTTCTGATGATCAGTTAATCGAGTGCATCTGATCAGCAGCATGTGGCTGCTACTTACCCTCTTAAATCCTGTGGAAGCAGTGAGGGTGTACTTAGTTTCCACAGAGTCCTGTGAAAACTTCACATTAAGGTACCAAACATTTATAGTAAAACACAGGATGTGAAGTCCTCTCTGAAACTGAGTACATTAGGTACACCAAATTTGGATAGCTTTTTCTTTCCTTTTACATGTAAATATCATTTAGCTTCCAGAGTGAGACTCCAAAAAGACTCGTCTTTGTTTTGTCTGTCTGTATTTACTAATAGAATGTAATGACTCAGCTGATGTTTTCACACTGCAAAAAATTCATAGAGTAATGAATGGTTAAAAGAATGCAAAGATGAAGCCTGAGTCACCGCAATGATCGCTAATGTGAATGAGATTCACTGCATGACTCCACTGGCTAGAATTAAACACACACACAGACACTTGCACTGCCAGTCTAGTTATTCCACTTGCTGCCATTTGAGAAGGATAGCTGCAGTCTCAGCGTGATCACACTGCCGGGCAGCTCGGGTGACTTTCAGGAAGTAATCCAGTAATAACAGCTGGCCAGCTGAAGGAATCATTGCAACTAGAAGATAGAAAGTGTAAAAATGGATATAGGAGGAAGCTGTCAGTATGTCATACTATACAGTGTAACAAGATTTAATGCATAGTATGTTTCATTGTACTTAGTGGAAATCAGTCATCGGGGAACTTTACAATACCAGTTAAACCTCACTTATAACAAACAGTTTACTGTTTTTAAGATGTCCTTGTCCTGGAGATGAATCCTTGTGTTTGGAGACGTATTCCTGCACATGGTGGCTCTTATTTACTATTGACTGCGCCACATCTGTGCCACTTTTTACCAGTATTCTGCCATGGAAACCCTTAAATATGTGCCACAATGGTGTTGGAAGATAATCTGGGCAACTTTACTTTACTACAGTTTACTTTTCTTGTAGTTATTCTGCTCATTTCTGACCTTACTGGGGGGTAGGCCTAAATAGCTCTCATTGTGGGTTTGATCAACCAGAGACTCAATCATGTCAATGCTCAGTGTCAGTAGACTGGCAGTGATATGCTGTTTATTAGTAGTAGTAAATGTGAGAATATGCCAAGCAGGGTTGCAGATTATTACTTCTTTTTTAAATTCATTGATTGATCATTTGATCCATGTAAAACAAACACCCACATCAACATTTCAAAGCTGAGAAATCATAAAAAGTCCTGTATTGCCCAACCATCGATTGCGATACAGCAAAATGAATCAAAAACAGCTGAAAATCTGATGCATTGTTTTTTACAGAAACTGGACACTTCCTGCTCATTTCCAGCTCCAGATTTTTATACTCGACTTTGCTTGAGTAGCTTTGCATGATTCCAGTGTTAGAATAATGCTTATTTCTGTCATCTGTCTCAAACAAGCTGTTTTAACTCCTCTTAAACAGCAGGTGGGAGGGTCCTCTGTCCTCAAGAGTACCATGTCAGGAGCTGACACTGGAGCTAGTTTTAAATTCTAGTCATTTTTGGTTGATTAACTATTCTATTAATTGACAAATCATTTCTAGTCTAAAACATGAGTGACACCTGTCAAGTAGCTACAAAAGAGCAAGGGTGGCAATGAATGTGAATCCCAGCAGCATACGATTATGATACCAGCAAACAGTGACGTCTCCTCGTCCGCTTTGTGTCGCTTTCTGGAAAACATCAGATGTAAGCAAGCACATAGGGCACAGGACAGATGAATGTGAGAATACAGACATGAAAAGCTGCTTTTATGATTCAATGAACATAAATCACTAAACCAATCAGTGGAGAATGTCCAGCCAAAGAGAACGAAGGCTGTCCAGAGCTCTGAGGATGGTGGCTGGTGATGTGCTGGAACAGCAATTGTAGCCTAAAAACTGAGATGTGCTTCTAGAGAAATGCTCCAGTCCTGCGTGCTACAAATATAATAACTATAAAGACTGATTGTTGTGGTGCAGTCACACAGCATGCCAAAGTTTTTATTAAACACACACAGCTCTCTTCATATTAAAACACTTGCCCTGTTTGTTAGCTGGGGCCACCAGATCTTTATCAAAGACTAAAATACAATTTGCCTTTCAAAGTCACCTGGTTGCAATTTTCCTGCAAGCTGGTTTCTTTGTAAACACTAAAAAGGTCCACATTCAGGCTGCTACGACACACAAGAATATGTTTTGCTTGTAAACAGAACTGCACAGTAAAAACAACAGCATCTATCAACAGCTGAGGCAAAGATGAACACCATTTCATCTGCTTACTGACATCGTCCTCAGCAGCTGAGCTGCTTTAAATTGTAGGACACAGGGCTGCTTCAGTCAGGTTCACTTTGTTCCTCTGCTACGCCGTCTTCTTTTCTCTGTGGTAGCCGTGTTTTTTATGAGGTCTGGATTTGAGTCTTAGAGCTGACTCGCTCTTCATAGACTCCCTTTTCCCTGGTGTGAGCTCCTCTCCACCCGGTTTCCACAGCAGAAGCTGTGCATCCTCCCCCCCGGTGAACAACGCCTCCTCTGCTGCATCCCACAGGAAGCAGCGCACCGTGGAGGCGTGGCCACCCTCTAGGCTCCTGAGCAGATGAAGACCCCTGGCGTCACACTCCATCAGGTGGAGGTCTCCGTTGTTCTTCCCGCCGACCACCAGCAGCTTTTGGGTGTCCTCTAGCCACCGCCCCCCCACCAGGTAGTCCACGCCTCGCCCGTCAGCCAGTAGAGTCAGGCTGCGAGCGTCGGAGGTGCTGAAGATGGTGAGAGGCTCATCTGTATCCAGCTGGCCCAAATCCCACAGGTGCAGCCCCTCATCGTGGCTGAGGCACAGCAGCTGGGTGTAGTTGGCCCCGGACCAGCACACTGAGCTCGCTGATGAGTCGCTGTTGCAGGTGGCGAGCAGCGCATCCTCCTCCGCCCCCCGGCTGAGGTCGAAAACATTAACAAGGCCATCTGTGGAGCCCGAAGCCAGGCGGTCCTTATCCCGGGGATGGAAGCGCACCTGTGTGATGTCATCGCTGTGCGACTCAGAGTATACCCCAAGAAGCCCACCTGCCGGTTTCCTGGAATCCCAGAAAATGAGGAAGCTGTCCTCGCTGTCCACTTGCTCAGTGCCGGCACACAGGAGCATGTCACTGCAGCTTAGGTCGAAGCTGCAGTAACAGTGCGCTGGATCGCTTTTAAACTTCTGGGCTGCCTCCGTCCCGGGTTGGCGGACGTCCCACACGCGGACCGTCCCGTCAGCAGAACCGGAGTACAGGAGGTCAGAGGAGGTGTGGCCAAACGTGACCCCGCAGAGCCGCCCGTTGTGGCCTTGATACTCTCCCACTTGCTTCAAAGTGTCCTTGTTGTGCAGGTGGATGGTGAAGTTGGAGCAGGACACCGCCAGAAGGCCACTCGGCTGCAAGGCAACATCCAGCAGGTAGGTGGGTTCCTCCGGACAGGACCGCCTAGCGATGGACAGAACTTTAAGCTTCTCCTCCAAACCCTCCATGGAAGCTCCTGATGAGTTCCTAATGAGATGGAATAATTAAAAAGACACAGAACTCTGATCAGCAAATCCAGCAACTTTGTCTTTCACTTCCTGTCAGTGGTTAAAACCCTGGGATCCACCTGTGCCTACAACTCATCGGTTTTATAATCTAATACAGAGCTGCTTTTCTACAACTGTGTAATAACCAGCAGTTCCACAGCGGTCTGAATGTGCCCATGTTTATTCATGTGGAAGGAGACGTGTGGGAACAGTTTCTCCCACTCACAGATAATTGTGAATATTCTTCTAAATTATGCAGCAATAACAGTGCTCCTACACCACAGTGTTATCAGTCTGTGTGTAGCTTCACTGGGGAAAATACAAAGTTGTTTTTGTTTTAATATATCCTAAACTTTTTCTTTCTGAAACACCAAAGTAAAACTGCTTACAATTCAGTCTCCTATAACAAGACTCAATAGCAAATGTATATTATCTACAGCTTTCTTTATTTGCTACATGCATATGAGAACACAGCTGATGATGTTTAATAAATTGCCTAATCCAATTTTGTAATTCGGCCCCAAATTAAAACACTTCCAAAACCGCTCCATTATTCATGTTTTAGCTCTAAACACGAGTTTTAGGGATTTTTTTAGAGTTTGGCGCTGGGGTCTGTAGCTCCACGTTTATCGCTCATCGCTGTGTAGTGAATGTTATCGTGTCGCGTGCTGTTAAAGCCGACCTTCCTACCTGCTACAAATGAAGGGAAACTCCCGGTGTGTTACACACTAGTGTTTGGACACGTCCGCCGCCATTCTGGACACAACACAACAGCCCACTGCCACGTTATTACAATAAAAGACTTTGGCGTTAAAGCTCTTAAAAACACGTAACTGAGTTCATTTCACCGAAAACTACGCATGGAGGAAGTGCTTTGTGTCACAGTGTGTACAGACCGGGTGGAAACGTTCTTCATGACATAGTTCCGTTCGTGCGTTTCGTACTTATTACTTTTTTCATATTCTGTTTTTATCTTTATTTTTAAAATATTTATTATGAATTTATTTCCCTCACAGTGCACTTTATTATAACGTTGCTTGTGAATAGTTTATATTACATTTTTTAAATAAAATGAAAAATGTGGGAAATGTCACTATTACACTGTGCTTACGTAAGAAAAGACATAAAAACTGTATATATTTACGTTTCTTGATTTTTAATTTATCTCAGCTAAAAATTGTGCAAAAATGTCTGTTCTCTCTTTCTCTCTCTCTTTAGAATTTAAAGGGTTTAATGTGTCTCTGCAGTGAGTCAGCCAGTCTCAAGGCTTGGATTTAATCAAAGAGCAGAACTGAGACGTTATACTCAACAAGTAAATTACGAGGTCCTTAAACTGAGACTTGATTCATCATGCACCGGGGTTTCGTCTAATTTACTTTGCAGAGGAAAGATTAATCAGCTTATTCAAGAAACACAGCTGCCGCGCATCAGAAATATAAATTAAATATGTAAAACGACCTATGAAGCGTTGCAGCAATCTCTTATTATATTTTTCTTCAATTTTTTCTTCTTAAATCTGTTTTTTTTTCTCGCCTTTGGCAATTTCAGATGGCTTTTTGTTACAGACATACTTTAAAAAAGGGAACAGAACAAGAAACTCAAACATATCATCAAAACAAAGGGGCAAAGCTGATCTGGTTCTACTAGAAGGATTGCCTTAGGATGAAATAAATTCAGGTGTGATACCTGTGTCGTCCAGCAGGTGGCAGCAGGAGCAGCTCTCACAGGTCTCAAACTGTTCGAGGCTTTCCAGCTGACCCAAATCTGACATTGGAGCCACACAGAAACAAATTAAAGACAACCTCAGTCCTTCGGGGGTACTGGAGTAAGAGGAGGAGAGTGAAGGAGACTTTTTCCTTTTTATTATCCGTCATTTCAGACAACACTCACACAGCTGACATGACTCACTCTTGTTCTGATGTCTTTCGTGTTTCTCAAAGCTCTTTATATAATCCCACCTTCCTCATATTTGCATCTGCTTCAAACAAATCTACTTGCTTTGTCTCTCAATTTGCATCTTTTTGTGGTCATTTAACGTGTGTTCATACTCACTGTGCATCACTTTGTATTCTGGTTTTTGACACAGTGCCCCTGTGCGGCACATTTTAGTCCTTTTGTGGGTCTTTTGTACTCATTGTCATATTTGTTTGCAGTTTATTGTTTATTTTGCATTACTTTGTCATGTGTGCTTTGTGTTCCTCAATGGTCCATTTGAGTCTTTTTGCACCAACACTTCACTTTGGTATCATCTATCATCTTTACAGTCCTTCATCTTTTTTGATGATTCTTTGTGGTAATTTTATGTCTCTGTTCTCACTTTTGGTGTTTCTATGGCTCTTTTGTGCGTCTTTGAGCATTTTTTGTGTGTGTGTCTGCAACTTCAATTTGTTTGTGTTGTGAACCTCAGT